GTCTAGGCTTACGCATAAGTCGAGCATATTGCTGCAGTGATTAGTAAGTAATAATTTTTGAAAACAAATATAAACCTGAGGAACAGACGCTTTTTGTTCTCGATAGCTTTGAGGTTTTGTCAAATAGTAGAAATGGCCAAAAAAGAAGGTTGAACTATGGTCGTAATAAATCAAAATTAAAAGTAAATAAAAGCAAAAGAAATGAATTCTTCTCAACACAGGCTCTTCACTTCAAAATTAAAAAAAATACGACTTTTTTTATAATAAACTTGTATTAAGCCCTACAAGGAAATATACTTGACGTCAGAGATGACTGATAACGACCGAATCAAAATCGTGGGCCGAGTGAGCACCAATAAAGCAGTGGGATACGATCAATGTAAGGGCAAGGGCCACTAAATGCCACATGCACATAATAAAACCAGTTCTGGTCCAGCAATATAACTGCATATTCTCTAGTGTTTTCATTCCTGCAATACTTAAGGCTGCCATTGTTCGGCCAATATATAAGAAGGGCGAGAAAAAATTTACGTACTACAGCCCCATTTGTATACACTCGGTAATTAAATATACAGAAGGAAAATACATAAATAAAATACTTCCGAGTTTCATCGCAAAACCTATTATATTGACTGATGCGCAATATGAGTTCAGAGAAAAATCGATAAAGTCAGATCGTCTGGAGTACTCTTTTGATTATGTATATAAAAACATTGACTGTACAAAATATGAATTGGTAGTTTTTATAGATTTTACACGAAAGAGCTTAAAAAAGATAAATTACTCTAGTTTCATTAGGTCGCTTGTACAGCATAGGCTTTTTGGGAAAAGTACACGACTTGTTACAAAATTATCTTCCAGACATATATAAAGTAGTGCGACTAAGATCAAAATATGGTAGGGCAATTAGGGTAAAACATGGAGTACCGCGAGGTACAGTTCTGGGCCCTCTACTGTTTAATTTATGTCAATGAAATTGCTCAAGTAAAACTGACAAGCAAACTATTCCAGCTTTCAGGAGATACAGTAATTGTATATGCCCACAAAAATTACGAAGTCGCCGTTCGATAAGTACAAGAAGGTATTCACAGTATTTTTCAAAAATCAGACTATTGTAAATACCTCAAAAACTCTAATAATGTGCTTTAGAAACCCCAGAAAAAAAAACTGCTATTGTTGTGTTTGTGTAGATGTCGGTGCTGTGTAGCTGTGTGCTGTGTTGCCTGCGTTGTATGTAGAGTTGCTGTGTAGTCGTGGTCGTTCGCAGTGTTAACAGACTCATCTATTTTTTAAAAACAGGCTGCTAGAAATCTCAGTAGGTGGCGCAAGTTACCGCCCGATTCTAAATAGTTTGCTCAAGTTATTTATCCATGTAAGTTCGGCATTCGTTTTTTTTTTTCGTTTTTTTTTTTGTTTAGCGCCTTGTTGAAGCTAGCGACGCCGCCGGCTGCCGACCGCCGACAACGCACGTACAAACCTTTGCAAGTAGCTACGTCCGCCGCTTGGAGACTTTACTGTTTATCAAAGACATCGAACGAGAACTAACGCGCCCTGTGTGCTTTCAATTCGGCTGAAAGGCTGGCGGCTCGCTGGGCTCGTCTCTCGCCTGTTCTCGGCCGCTGGCCGCCATGTTTCATAAGGAACACGCTCGAAACGGTTTTGCGGAAGGCAGACACGGTGTAGCGTGTTAAGTTTACACAGCACCTCATGTGTAGACGAAAAACACAGATGGCCTCGTGTAATACGAACACGTTTCGACGTGTTCGCTATGGGACAACGGTTTACACGTCTGGGCGTGTTATTTTTGCTAACAGTGTAGCTACGCGCCCCGATCAGCTTGTGCCTGGATCGGATAAAGTTGGATCTTTCGGGCTTCGTGTTTTGGATCAGCCTAAACATGACGTCTCTTATATAGACGCTTTGCAGCAGCTGTGCATGGACGCCGCCATAACTGACTTTCAGCTTTTGTTTCCTCTTTTTTCGTTTACTTCACTTCATCATTACCATAGCAGGCTAGGTTATTGCCGCATTAGATTCAACTGTGTCCCTTTCTAAAGCATCGGCCTTTGTAGAGGATCGTCAACTACTGTTTCAGTTGCTCGGCATCTCGGTAAGACAAGAGAAGATCAGCAATGGCGGCTGTAATTTGGCGCGTGTGTAAAGCGTCTATATTGATTATACAACAAGGTTGCGATGCTGCGCGGGTCGTTGCTGACAAGCACTGCTGCGTAGGGTACGCCCTGCACGAGAACGTTTTTGCGTTCGCACGGCAAAGGCTTCTCAACGATAAAGCAACGTCCTGTATCAACAGCAAGCTAAGGCTGCTCGAAAGTCCCACGCTCAAATTTTCGGAGAGCGAACGCGGACAGTCAACGTAGTCGCGGTCATCGTGGTCGCAGTTAATTTTTCATTTTATATTGGCATCTTCAAGCTTCCCGTTTTGGGGGCCATTTTCGGGCTTCGGAGTTCCTTTGGAAGTATGGAGCAGTCCTGTTCACTCGGTATTGACAGCAGAGTAGACGATATGCTTGTTTTAGGCCAATGGTGTCTCCGGGTAGGATCACGTGACTACAGTCTCCAAGGGAAAGAGATAAAAAAAGCACGGCACCTCCCGAAAGCAAAGGCCACGGATAACATCCACTGGACCATCAACTTTGGGTCGAACTTTCAAGAAGTTATAAGTCACAAATCCTCTCGTTGTGTTCGTTGTTGGGATACCCCTGAAGATAAGCCTCTTTGAGCCCAACCCCCTTTTGACCTTGAAGGAGCTGTCACTTTCCTACCCCTTCTCTTTTTTCGCCTCTCTTCCTAAACTGAAAGGGTGGAAGAATGTAAGAACTCGCCGAACCAATCAATAGGAGATTTTTTTATGAGTTCACTCCGCCCTCTGGGTGCGGGTAACTTCAGCACGTTGTAGAAGTATCCCGGATGACGCAGTAGCTTATCCCAATCCCGGAACGCCTGCTTCCTGGCCTACTTTCTTTTGTGCTAGGCTGCGACCTGTGGGACTTGTGTAGATTTTGTCCGCGACAACGTATCCAAGGCAAACAGTATTTGAAAAGTACTTTGCGTATAACGGCAAAAAAGCGATTTGTTCAAAGAAGCCTAAGAAATTCGTGTTACGCGTTTAGTGTGCGTTCGGCAAATGACTACTTCTGCCACATCGTGCTAAATGAATCTTAACGGACCCCTCTCTTCCCGTTTTTGTGAGGTTGTTCTGCAGTGCCCGTATTGACATATATCTCGGAATGCATCTCTCAAGTCCGCTAAGTTTATGGTAAGTGCACTGAACCCGACTTGTTGAAAACGAGTGACCGCTGTTCTACGAGTACTCTACAAGATTATTTATAGAATCAGGCACTATCTATTCTCTCGGCAGAAGGATCAATAATTTCCCCGAAAGTCTGCCCGCAGTCGCCTCCAAATAGCTGGCTGAAATCAAGCGCCAATTATACCGGACAATATTTATTTTCATGTTCTCTAGGCATTTTGTGGAAACATGTGTCATAGGCGACTTTTCGTGAATGCTCGTTTGAGCGGCACGCTTTTGTCGTCAATAACATATCACCGACACTTGTTACGCGAATTTCACACTGCGGGGACATCTTTTAGCGGGTGTGTCGATCAGTGGCCGGCAGTCCCGTCCACGCAGCTTCGCGGCGACATTCTGCAACGCCTCCTTACAGAAACGTTATCCCACGTGGCCCACCCTACAAGAAATTTTACGGCGACAATCTAAGGTGACTTCTTACAAAAAAAAGAAAAAAACAGGCTACTCATAGTAGCTGTTTATAAAACAATCTGTAGATGAACGATCCTTCGACAAACTAATTGATACCGCCAATGAGATGCGTTTGCAGGTACAATTTTGGGGAAGTTATCTTTCCAGCTGCCGGGAGAATAGGCAACGTATACCGTAGTCTTACTCCTGTTCTTGTAGGCTTTGCATTCTTCTCAGTTGTATAAAAGCTTAGAAGCACCTTTTTACATTTCGCAGAGCGCTTCCACGTTTGTACCTATCTACGGGACATGCTGTGCGTAATAAACTTCTAGGAGGTTTGAAAGCAAACTTTTATGTCTGTCTTCCTGCCCGTTTGCAAACACCTGCGCGAGTAATTTCTTACGGGTTTCCTTCGTGTTTTAAGTAGGTTAATTCACTTCGGGACATCTTTAATAAGTTTGAGATATCCAACCTTCCAGATGGTGCCCATTTAGGGTTAACGAATAATTAGCCGGGGTGCCAGATTCTAGCTTGAAAGCGATTTATTTAAACAAGCATTGGTCAGTGAAAGGAATGCCGCGGCTATGCTTCTGCTAGAGCAAGTGAGCCAACCCTGCCTCCCGTGGCTTGATCGCGTCTGTTCATTTGCTTGTGCGTGATATATTCAGCTGCATAGTCCAGAAAGAGCTGATGATGGCCAGTCATCCTCGACATCACGACGACTTGGTTGAGGTTACGGAAAACCTTCTAGCCTATTGTGAGCCAAGCTCTTGAGAACATGTCGATGAAAGATAAACAAGTGAACTTATGTAGAGCCTTGGACGTCGTCAACCTATGCGGAAGAAAACTGGAGTCGTCGATAGAGTTGGAATACAAACAAGGCTCGAGAAAGAGCGGTGTGCGTGTGTGTTGTAACAATTGCGGTGCTATACTACGCTTCGCTTCCTGATAAGATTAGTTGGTGCGGCGCGATATTGCATTTCTTTCTTTTTGTCCGGTCCTGATTGGATACAGGATCCTTAAAAGCGAACTTGCTTTTATAATAAAGACAGATCGTTCTTCCAGCAGAGAGTCTGCCTGTTCCGTCGGCAGCCGTTCCGTCGTCGAACCGCCGGAAACGTAACAGCTGTTGGCAGCGGTGGCGGCGGTATGGAGCGCATGTCGGCGGCGGCCTGGTGCCCGATTTGGTGAGCGCACGATTTCCTTGCTATCATTGGGAGCCTTAGCTGGTTGAAATTAGTGGTAGCGTGATCTTTGACATTTCAAAGACCAGGCAATCATGAATCTCACGTCGCTAACGAAACCCGAGCTCGTTATGCTGGCTCAAGAGCTAGGCATAACAGCACAGAAGGCAATGCGCAAGCAGGAAATTGTTGACGCAATATACAAGTGCGGGAGAGCAGACGACGAAATAGAAGAAAGCTGGAAGGCGGTCTCTTTTCAATTAAGAAAACGTAAAGTTGAATTAAAGTTAATAGTTTCAGCCGCACAAACTTGAAGAAGGTGCAGCCGCATCTGAGGTAGCCACACGCCGCGAAAACTTCGACATGCGCGGTTTCCTGCAGCCGTTTTCTGTTGGCAACAACATCAGCTTGTACCTTGTGAACTTCGAAAGGACATGTACAAATGCAAGGTTTGAGAAGGACACTTGGTCACAACGGCTTCTGACGTTGCTCCCAAACGAGGCTGCAGGCGTAATCGCACGAATGACTGTCGAAGAGGCGCGTGACTACGACAAGGTGAAACTTCAGCTTAGGCAAAGATATAGTTTGTCCACGGAAGCCTTGAGATTGAAGTTTCGTAAACAAGGCGTCGTCAAGGGGAGTCATACTCCGAGTTTGCGTACAAAGCCATGAGCTTTCTGGAGAAATGGCTCAAAAGCGCGAGCGCGTATGACAATAAACAGAGTGTTATTCAGCTGATAGCACTTGAACAGTTCTAACTCTTTCGGAACCGATGAACCTGTGGATTCAGGATTAGCCAAATGTAACTACTTTGCAAATGGCGGCTAGTCTAGCTGATGAGTACTGCTCCCGTAGGCTGGATAGTTCGGAGGAACTGCAAAAAAAGAAACCTTCGGGACCGTTCAGAATGTTTCAAAAGGGATCAAAGGAAACAAGCTCGGCGAACGCGTCCGAGAAGGCAGAGCAGCCCCAAACGGCCAAGAAAGAGGGAGTAAAAACTTCAAAGTTTGAAGAAAAGCGGGCGTTAATTTGCTATAAGTGCCAACAGCCAGGAGATATCGCCGCGGGCTGCCGGCAAGCAAGTGTATCTGTTAATTTGCTCACGGAAGAGAGTGACTTGCTTCTGCCTTACACATAAGATATGCCTGTGGATGGGCGTCAGCTGCAAGGTGTTTCAAGACACGGGTGCAACTTTTGATGTCGTTCACCCGTCATTCGTTCAACCAGAACATTTCACAGGGGCATGTGTATGGGTACGGCAGGCACTCCAACCAGACACAAAATGCTTGCCGGTAGCGAAAGTTGAAATGGAAGGCCCCTTCGGCAAGTTCCAGACGGAAGCAGCCGTTTCCGATAAGCTCCCTCAGAAAATTCCTTACATTTTTTCCAACAAGTCGATGAGGGAATTACAAAATGCAGCGATGGAGCCAGACGTAAAGCCAGTCATGGTAATCACAAGGGCCCACACGAAGCGAATGCAGGAAGCTACCATGACTGATGCTGTCGCGGTATCGGAAGAAAATGACGCGAGCGAGACAGTCACCGCCGTTCCGTCCGCGTCTGAACCAGATCTCGACGATAGTGAGACCGCAACTTCTGAATCAAATCGAGAGCTGATAAGCCCAGTCAGCGAAAACTTTAAGCTTTTAGCGAAGGTTGATAAACACGCGCTAAGAAAGGAACAGGCAGACGATGCGTCACTGCAATCGTGCCGGAAAAAAATTGGATGTAAACGCAAAGGAAGCATTTTGTTATGAAAGACGGTCTTTTGTACCGAATGTTCAAGAACAAGCAAAGCCGTTCTTTCGAACAGCTGGTCGTGCCGCAGAAGTATCGTACAGCACTTTTGGGCTTGATTAACAGTGACAGTTGATCTAGCCATCTAGGAATAAACAAAACCAAGAGCAGGTTGCTAAACGACTACTACTGGCCGATGTGCTTCAAAGATTCTGAGAACTGGGTACGCTCGTGCAATGTTTGCCAAATGACGGGTCGACCAAATGAGAAGGTCAAGGCACCTTTGGTTCAGGTACCCATAATTGGTGAACCATTCCGTAGGTTGGTGGTAGACATTGTTGGCCCGTTACCGCCAACTGCAGAAGGAAACAAGTACCTGCTGACGCTACTTTGTCCTGCAACAAAGTTCCCGGAAGCAGTCATTTTACCAGAGCTAAGCTCTACAGCAGTCGTTAACGCGCTGCTTGGCGTCTTTTTGAGGGTCGGATTTCTAAGCGAAATCCAATGTGATCAGGGTTCGGTCTTCACCAGTGCGCTGACTCCGACCTTCCTAGAGAAATGTGGCATAGCAATCCACCACAGCTCAGTGTACCATCCGCAGAGCAATTCTGTGGAGAAGTTTCACTCCGTAATGAAGCGCATTTTGCGTACGCTTTGTTACGAAAAGAAAGCGGATTGGGACACAGCTGTTTCGGCAATGCTTTTCGCATTGCGCTCTGTTAGCCACGAGGCGACTGGATTTACTCCAGCTGAATTGGTTTACGGGCGCGCACTAAGATCGCCGTTAACCTTGTTGAAGGGCAAGTAGGAAGACAAATTCGTCCAGAAGACGGTCGTCGAGTATGTGCATACCCTGTTGAAGCGCTTGCGCGAATCGCAGGAATTAGTCGAGCTGAACATGAAACAAGCAGAGCAGCGTGCGAAAAAGTACTACGACAGGAAGGCTCGGAAACGAACATTTAAAGAAGGTGACAAAGTACTGATTCTTAAGATGTCAAAGGCAAATAAGCTGGAAGTAGCATGGGATGGTCCGGTGGTGGTGCAACAAGATTTAAGGCACTAACTACTTAATGACGTCCCCTGGCAGACGGAATGAGGTGATAATTTATCTCTGTAGTTTAATAAAGCCTTTTCTGGAACGCACCAAGGTTGTTAGTATCGCTCTAAACAAGCCTGAAGAAGTTGCCATACGAATCCCACCACTCCCATCCCCGTGCTCGCTTCCTTCTACAGAAGAGATATTACCAAGGACAACTGAAGGTGAACGGTTGAATGCACAGCAAAAGGAAGAATTAAAAGAGGTGCTAGACTCGTACAGGGCCTTGTTTAGCCCGCGTCCAGCTAAAAACTAACCTGTTACAGCATGACATCGAGTTGACCTCAGAACAAACTTTCCGTACGCGAGTACGCAGAATTTCACCCCGTCATGAAAAGCTGTTAAATGAATCCGTTTAACACATGCTGGACTTGGGGATAATTGAGCGAGGGGAAAGTGATTACATCTCCCCGATGTTCGTTGTCGAGAGTGCTGGTAAAGAACCGCGGCCACGCATAGACTACCGCAAACTCAACGCGATAACAAAGACAAAAGTGTTTCCCATTCCGAATGTTGAGGCACTCCTTGAAAAAGTGTCGGCGGCGCGGTATGTGTCAACACTAGACCTCGTGCGGGGCTATTGGCAAGTGCCTCTCACGGAGAACGCTAGTAGGCTGGCAGCTTTCATTACCCCTCCCGGAACGTTCCGCCCCCTTGTCCTTTCGTTAGGACTTCAGAACGCGCCCTTTGTTTTTACAAGCTACCCAAGCAGCACCAGAAAGTGAATTTGGATCGGCCGACGGTTGGCCAGTGTCTGGACAGCTTGGCCACTTTAAGTGCTTGGCCACCGGAGACACAAACAAGGCCGCAAGAGTCCGGCCACAAACTAGTTGTTTTTAGCTTGTCCGCCGGAGACATAAACACTGCCGGCAAGCGCCTGGCCAGAAGTGCAGATTTTCAGCTTGGCCGCCGGAGACATAAACACGGCCGGCAAGTGTTTGGCCAGCAGTGCTGATATTCAGCGCGGCCGCCGGGGACATAAACACGGCCGACAAGTGTTTGGCCAGAAGTGTTGATTTTTAATTTGGCCGCCGGAGACATAAACACGGCCGGCAAGTGTTTGGCCAGTAGTGCTGATTTTAGGCTTGGCCGCCGGAAACATAAACATGCCTGGCGAGTGTTTGGCCAGCAGTGCTGATTTTAGGCTTGGCCGCCGGAAACATAAACATGCCTGGCGAGTGTTTGGCCAGCAGTGCTGATTTTCAGCTTGGCCGCCGGAAACATAAACACGGCCGGCGAGTGTTTGGCCAGAAATGCTGATTTTCAGCTTGGCCGCCGTGGACATAAACATGGCCGGCAAGTGTTCGGCCAAAAGTGCTGATTTTCAGTTTCGCCGCAGGGACACCAATAATCTAAACTTTCATCGCGTTGACGAAGCTTTGGCATGACGACAGGCAGCGAGAGAAGCATCATGAGCGAATGGTTGGCAGGATATTAGTGCGTGCACCGCGCGAACACTGTTAGCGCAAACGATCGATCATCGTTTTATTCAGTTTTCTTTTCGTTAGACTTGAAAGGCTATTGTCTTAAATAGCACTGTCGTGCGATATGTTCATTTGGAACATTACCAGAAGTGGGAAAATATTGTGCCCGTCATTTTTCGATGAAAGTAAAATACGAAAACAGTGCCCACGTCATTTTCGCGCTAACAATACCGCTCTGTCGCTGCGCGGCACTCTTAGCGCGAATACCCCATCCGCGATTTTTAGGTTAGTGCTCCACATATTTACTTCCCAACTGCATTCGAAGAAAAAAAGTTGTAGTCGGGTGCATCGGGCGCACATGCTCCCCTTTCCTGGAAAACGCGCCCTCCGTTACCCAGCCAGAGTATACTTGTACACCGACCATAAGCCCCCTTCTCTACCTTAAAAACCTATAGTTACATCAATGCACTCAGCTTAGTAAAGCGCCACGCTAGACACGCTTCCCGATCAGCTTGTGCTTAAATCGGACAAGATTGGATATTTCAGGCTTTGTGTTTTGGAAGAGCCTAAACAAGACGTCTCTCATATATTGAATAAACTTAAGCTAGTCTCAGTAATGTTTTATATAGGTGCTAGGATACTGATTTCCTGAGTCAACGAAAGCTAACAGCTTCGGTTAAAACCGCAACGGAAACGTTCAAAATCGAACCACACGTAAAAAAAAATGAACATCTCGACCTCGATGTGCAGAACGCTGGTTTTGTTGTTAACAACGTGGTTGTTGGCGGGTGGTGGTCAACGCCGTGGCGCTATTGACGCTATCGTGGTGATTGACGCCAGTGATGCTCGGCCGTACTACACAGTAAGTGTTCCCTATTGAAAATAATTCTAAAGGGCCCATCAGCCTTGAAGGATTATGGGACCGCACAGGCCTTCAAAACCCTTCAA